GGGGGGGGGAATTTGCTGAAGTGGAAGAACCTTGCGTGACAGATGATGCCCCATGGATGTCACCTTGGCTGTGGTCCTATCCCAGCCACAATGCATGACCAGCACATCTGCTTGGCGTTTTGCCAGACGTCGACTAATCTTCCCCCCTTTTTTTGTGCTTTCAGGGAATAGGGGCATCCCTTGGGCCCACCCTGGGGACTCCCCAAGTGGCCATGTTTTGTGGAAAACTGGTCCTCCATCTCAACGTCCAGACAGGACGCTGGGAGCCCGATGCCATCAACACTCGGACCTGCTTTCGTACCACAGAGGAGATCCGGAGCTACTGCCAGGAGGTACACAAACTGGCGTGTGTACACGCACACACACACACACACACACACACACATACATACATTCATAAACGTGCAAACCCCCATCTTCTTCCCATCCTTCCAAGCTCACTTTTTTCTCTTCCCAACTTCAGGCAGCCCTGACTTGCAACCACAGCGGAGCCCAAAATTTCCGTTGCTAGAACAGGATAGTTGTTAAGCGAGTTTTTACCCCATTTTACAGTCTTCTTTGCCCAAGCTATTGTGAATCACTGCAATTGTTAAGTTGGTAACATGGTTGCTGAGCGAATCCAGGTTCCCCCCCCCCCCCGTTGACTTTGCTTGCTGGAAGTCATCTGGGAAGGTCGCAAATGGTGATCACATGACTCTGGGACTGTGCCATTGTAACTTTGAACGGTCACTAAATGAATGGTTGTAAGTCAAGGACTACCTGTACTCCTTCTCCTGATGTCATCACCACCTTCCCACTCTTTCATCACGACTCCTCTGAGCCAGTCCTTCTGCTGTCAGTCTTGATGTTCCTACAAATCCATCTTTTTTTAATTTTCAGCCTCCTCTTGGTTTATTTTTATTTGTTTTATTTAGAAAATTTATATTGTCGCCTACTCGCGACTCAAGGTGGCTTACAGGACACAAAAGCACAATATAAAAATAATAAAAATAATAAAATATTAACCCTCCACCACCACCCCAGCACCCCCTTGCTTCCACCAGGCCTATTCTTGTCTAATCAACCAACACCTCTTCTATTGACAGTCCTAGGAACTCAGGAAACAACCTTCAGTTCCTCTTAAATTTTTCTCAAACTCTCTGACAGAATCTCCAACTGGGGTTAACGGAGGGAAAGAGAAGTCACATGTTCTACAGGTAGTCCTTGAGTTACAACTGTAATGGGTAGGCTCCATGTTGTAAGTCATGATGGTCACAAAGCAGGCTGGTCATATGACTGACCTGATTTTATGATCTTTTTTGTGGCAGCCAGTAGTTTTGCCAACCTCCCCCCACCCACATACACACACAAAAATAAATGTCGGTTTTCAGTAAAATGGTCATAAAATGTTGCCCATGACTATGAGATGCTGCAAATGCTCATAAATGTGGCCTGCTTACTGAATGTCTGAAGTGTGATCACATGACTGTGGGGGTGGCCCAACCATTGTAACTTCAAAACCAGGACACATGTAACCTCCTTACTTAGGTCCATCATAACTTCAAATGGTTACTATCTGTATTTCTATTGGGTCCTTTTTTTCTCCTTCAAGGATCTGGATTGTTCCTTCAATAACATTGAGTGTGTCATCTCACACTTATTGTTCAGTGCAAAGAAAACTACCACCAAGTCCCAACAAGAACCAAACTATCTATTGGACTTAATTACCATCCATTTGGGGTTGATTCATATTGGATCAGAGTTTGCCAACCTTGGCAGCTTTAAGACATGTGAACTTCAACTTGGGAAGTTGAAGTTGACATGTCTTAAAGTTGGCAAAGTTGGCAAAACCTTGCGTGGCTAGAGCCTCTAAGATGATCTGCACCAAAACTGGTCCTTCAGATCCTTCAATAGTGCACTTACCACCACTATAATGAAGCACATCCATCTTGCTGTTGACTGTCCTCTCCTTCCCTTTCCTTCTACCATGCACGATTGATCCAAAATGTGATAATTTGAAATTGATAATTACTATCTTGAGTGAGAGCTGTAGATTAATGTATTCTGTGATCCATTTGTTTGTTTTCCTGTCTATTTACGGTATTGTACTACCGAGATGACGGAACATCTCTGAAGCTAAGCCAATCTAAAACTGTAGAATACATGGATGGAAAAGGGGGATCAGCAACTCCAGAGGTGCTATTCAGAGGAGCAAGATGGAGTGCATTTATACATCACCCTCTGAAGCAGTGGTTCTCAACCTGTGGGTCGGGACCCCATTTGGGGTCGATCGACCATTTCATGGGGGTCGCCAAGCAAGGCTGTCCGCCATTTTTTTTGTCTGCCATTTTTTTTGTCCGCCATTTTTTCCCCTTTTCCGGCGGGTGCCTTACCTCCCTTGGGCTGGGCCAGCTGGTGGTCGGCCTGCTCCGTCTCTGCCGCTTGCCAGCTACGCCTTGGCCGGCACAGGGGGCGGAACCACACATGCGCGGCGCTCCCGGGCAGGGAAAGTCCTCGACTTACGACCGGTTTAGTCCTCGACCTATGACCGGTTTAGTCCTCGACTTATGACCGGTTTAGTCCTCGACTTACGACCGGTTTAGTCCTCGACGTACGTCCGGTTGGGGTCGCGGCATTAAAAAGGTTGAGAACCACTGCTCTGAAGTGTCTCAAGGGAGAATGGCCTGCTTTTCTCTGCCCTCTGTTTGATGTCCTACTAACAGCCATTTGCCCTGCAGGTATATCCAGAGCTGCAGATCACTAATGCTGTGGAAGGGACGCAGCCAGTTACCATAGACAATTGGTGCAAGAAGGGCCGGTCATTATGCAAAGGCCAGATGCACATTGTGGTACCCTACCAGTGTCTTGGTAAGCACAGAGTCCAACTGCCTGAACTGTTTGGGGATGATAAGGACTGACTTTAAAATTGGGAGTGAAATCATGTGTTGTTGTTATTTGCCTTGCGCCTTCTGTTCCCTTGGGTGTTGTGCCTTTGAAAGCATCAGCTTGAAGGCAAGGAGTGTCTTGCTACTGATAGTTGCAAGCCTCCCCCTTCCTCGGGAACCTTTTAGCAAATGGGGGCTCAAGATTTAAAATGTGTAGTGTAGGCCAGTGTTGCTCACTCTCATCAGATTTAGGATGGATGGACTTCAGCTCCCAGAATTCCCCAGCCAACCAACATGTTGAAGTTGAAGTCCACCCATCCTCCACCTGCCGAGGTTCAGAAACCCTGGTGTTGACTCATGCTACAAAGTTATATACACTTAGCTCTGATTCAGTGGAATTGGAAGTTATATGCACTTAGCCCAATTCAGTGGGATTTTATTTTTGAGCAGAAATAAAGAAGCTGCTTTTGTTGCAAAAATTGATTGTGCGCAAGGCTTCTGTGTGTCATTCTTTCCAGGAAAAAGTGCAGTGGTAGCACTTTTTTTTCTAAATGCTTATTGCATTATAATTAGCAAAGTAAGCAACTTGAAATCCGTCAATAGTTTAGAGACTCAGTATCCATGGGGCACAGCAGAATGGCCAGTGACAAGGAATTAGGAGTTGCAACCCAAACCCAAAGACACCAAATTGTCTATTTATTTATTTATTTATTTATTTAACAGAATTTATATGCCGCCCTTCTCCCCATGGGACTCAGGGCGGCTCACAGCATATTAAAACATCATACAAAAAATTTCCCCTACTAAAAACCAATTAAAACCCAAATATTGGTAGCTGTGGCTCTTTAAAATCGTTAAAAATTGTCCCTATTTAAAACTCACCCTAGGTCAG